GAAACATAGTCTCTCCAGCATGTCCTGGGTCTTCTCATGGGCCTCCCCCCTTTTAGTCACAATGTTAAATTTTCTTTAAAAAATGAAACTTTATGCATCTATGATTTATGTACCCTTATATTAGTTTAAAATGGTCTTCAAGCGACCAACACTCTTTGCTAAAGGTAAGGTTCAACTGAACATGCTGCCGTTAGCACACTGCCTTGTTACTGAAGCAGACAGCTTGGTGTATTTGTTTTCTTTTTAGTGAAAGGCACAAGTGCTGAATCCCTCTGTACAAGTATTCTTTCTTTTTTCTTTTACACTATTTCATTCTTGTAGTTCCTGTCACTTCTTTCTATGTAATACAATTTCAATGCGCCAAAAACTCTAAATATGAATGGACAACGGAAGAAGAGTGAGAGCATGCAAATGAGAGAAATTTTGTTATGATGTCTGTGATCTATAGACGGCTTCTACCAACATTTACGGTAGGTCAACTATGGAGAAGTTTATTTATACAGGACCTTTCATAGAGAAGGGACGGCCTGCTTTACAGGAAAAAAACCAAAAGAAAAACACAGATATATTGAGCATCCTTTTGGAATAAAGAGAAAATTAAGAATGAACATACTTAATATAGATTTGATGCTATAGCTTTTATTCTGAGGATCAACCCAAAATTCTGCAAGCAAATTTTCCTTACTATTTTTTTAAATCAGAGCCTGATACTTTAATATTTTTGCTTAAGATTAATATACAGTGAGAATTTTTTACCGACGCATGCCTAATCTATTATAATGTAAGAAAACAACAATGTAAAAACAGCTCCAACTTGAGAACTGATGACTAAGATGATGTGTTTCATATATTAGAACCTCCACATGTTATCATAGCTATGTTTTCTTTGAATCTGCCATCCTTTTCACCATGCTGAAATTTAAACAATAACAGATGACCTTATGGTACAACATCATTTAACCGTATTTGGGTCCTTTAAAACAACTCTTTCATAAAATGGTCACCTAGATCTTTTTATTTTTTATCATTTTTCACTTATGTTAGCGGTGTTACACTGTGCAGAGGGTGTGATGTGGGTCACCTCAGTATGAGGTTGCATGACCACATCTGCAAATATGCAGAAAACAAGCTACTTCATTAAAAGCAAGCAGCACACAGCTGATTGAGTTGCTCAGGTAGACAGCTGACCAAACACTCCTTTTGAGGTCAGGTAATTTGCAAGAAGTTGCAGGTTCTACTGGTGAAAGAAAAACCTTTATAGCCAAAATAAATTTAAAGAAATAACTCCAGATGTCTCCTCCTAACCCATCATTGACTGCAAGTTTAAAACACTGTCTAGGAGACTTGAAACTTAAGTAAAAATAGTTCAACACTTGACCCAGTTGCAAAGCAGAGTCTAAAACTGAGGGGAAGCCTGTTTAAAAAAAGAAGCTTTCCTACATAATTAATATGCGAATGGTTTTCACACTGATGTGTACATTGCTTCAAGCAAGACCCTTCAGTCATCTTATTTTAAATGGAAGTGGGACATTCCTTGCCTAATGCAGGAGTTCACAGATTTGCTCTCTAAAGTTAAAACAGTTCTTAAACTGCTGAGTTTGTAATTATCAGATTTTAATCCTTTTAAGACTATTGCCTGTTTGAAAAGGTAGAAGTGCTGCAGGTGCTGCACTGCACTTGGAGCTAACCAAAATGATCAGGAGTTTTATTAAGTTTGATGGGTTTTTGTTATTGACTTTAGATTTGTTTAATTGTATTGATTTCTATGTATGTAAATATTACTTCAGGTGCATAGTTTATTGTTTTGGTGTAGGTTTGTATGTATATTAATTTAGCTTCTTTTTCTTAACAATCCCTTTTCATGGTTCCTTCCTTCATGTCACCTGAATTGAGTTTTGGTATAACATGCTGTTTGTTCTTTTTAGTGTGAAAAGGTGTTGGTGTGCACAACCTGGAGTTCAATAAAGCCACCAAAACGTCTATTTTGTCTTGCCTCTCCATTAAATATTAGTCCTCTGCCGGTCAAGCTGACAACGAGAGATGAAACAAGAAAAAAAAACAAAAAAAACTAGCCACATTTATGGAGGAATTTAAAATTGACTTCAAACAAGAATTCAACATATTTAAAGAACAGATTGACTACAAGTTACCTGAAAATAAAAAAAGAAAGAAAAAGCAGGATTTGGAGGAGGTGCAACCGCGGATTAGGGAACTTGAGGACTTAAATATAGAGGTGAAAAAGGCCTTACTGACCATCCTCAGAGAGCAGTGGGGTCTGAGAGAAAAACTAACTTAGATGGGAGATTAAGATGAAGCAACTTGGAGATTTAATGAGCTGATGTCAACTGTGCAACAAGTTCCTATCAATACATAAAACCAAATCGGTTCGTTTTATGGTGAAAGGTTGTTAGGAACTGATCATTTATAAATCATAATAATAATATAAAATATAACTTTATTTATGACACAATGGAGAAATGTACTTCTGCTTTTAACCCATCACCTTGGGTAGCAGAGGGCTGCCATTGCGCAGCACCCGGAGGGCAATCGTGGGTTACGGTTCTTGCTCAGGAACCCACAGTGGAGGCTGTGGGGATCGAGCAAAACTGTTTTTTTTTTTTTTGCTACCACCTTCCCAATGCTGACCTCCTTAGTATTGATCACCTAAAATCCTATTAAAGATATATAAGAATTTGTGTTTCTAAAGCATCAAAATGTGTAAAATTATGTTACATTGTACTTTAGTGTTACATTTGTGAAATAATCTGCATTTATAAAACGAGCTGTAGATTCCTTGAGAAAACAGAAAGAGGAAGACTTGCTCAAACCTGTGTCTGTGAGGGTCTGAAGGTGCAGCTGAATGACTGCTGCAGCGAATCCAGGAACGGCTGGATCTTGTAAAGACCCTGATTGCTCCCCTGGGACGGGCGGAAAGCCACAATGTGAAAGTACTTCAGGATCTTCTCAAAGCGTGACTGGCTCATTTTCAAAGCGATGCTCCTGTTGCTGAAAAAGCCTGAGCTCCAGATGCTAAGCACCGATTCACAGCGCTGCACGCTGGTGGAGATGACGAAGCCCAGGAATGCCTTCATCTCCTGGGCCGTGACGGGACACCAGCCTTCTTCGGAGCCGAAGCGTTCCTGAAACTTCTTGGCGTACATGTTTGTCTGGGTGACCATATTTTGGATGCAGTTGTCTGGAACAAAGAGTTGGAAGAAATCCAAAGCTGTGGCATTGGCCATCATCTTCTGAGCGGGGCCTGGAAAGAGACAGAGAGAAAAAAAAAAAAAGTCAGTGAAAGGTTGCTGCAAGGAAAACTGATGGTTGGATAGTCTCTAGTAAGCTTATTATCAGGTACAACTGTCTCCAACTCTCTGTTTATAAACTTAAGTAAAAAAAACTTCAGCATGGTTGACCTTGATTGATCAAATTTCTCTTCTCAACAGCATGACAGGATGAGGTGACATTTTGTTGAGCTTTCATTCTCAAACCAGAGCAGAATGCATGCAGAGCATGTTTTGCTGACAATGTACAATGTTGCCTCAGAGGAAACGAAAAAAAACAACAAAGCAACAGTCAGTTGCTTTTCTCATGAATGAACCCTGGCAGCTTTTGGTATTAATGTCAGAGGCCTTGGGCCGTGGATGGTAAGTTAAAAAGACTTGACAGCCACCGCACTGTGGCGACTGTCTGATGGTGTCATTTCTCTGCTGGCAGAAGGTCTCAGAGTCTCCTTGCTTTATTGCTATGGCAGGAAATGAGACAGAACCCTGTCCCCATGTAGCTGAATTAGACATCTGCCAATACAGCTTTGGCTGATAAAAGACAGCGGTGCTGGAGCAGCAGCATTTATAATTTAGTTACGCAAACACACACAATAAACATATAACCCAAATGATAAGGTGGTTTATGAAGAGCTACTGTTAAATATAACCTTTATCTCAGAGGAAACGCATACATACTGTTCCTTTACAAAGAATTAATTAAATTAACTAGGGCTTCCACTAACCATTGATCAATCTGTTTCCCTTTTTTTTTAATTAATCCATTAATAATGAGATAGCAAAAGTTGAAGATCTGTTTACTTGATATGCATCAGATGAAGCTAAAATTAGATAGATGAAGGTTTTTCATCTGAAATGCATGGCCTGTTTGAGGGTTTGTACACTTTATCCAATAAATATCCACTTGACAAAAGAGTTGAGAGATATTTAAACAATCACTTAATCATGATAAACCCAATAAGTTGTTCAAACCATAAAAATAACTAAGATAGAGAGGTGGATCGTTAAAGATAAAATGATAAATACAACTAGCAGTTCAGATTTTTTATTTTTGTCGATCTTGTTTATTAAAGGGTTTAAACATCAGATCAAAGTAAATTAAAATAAATAAATACTGCAGCATTGAAATGTGATGAATACTCGTATTTTAACTCTACTTTGGTAATTGCATTTTTTCGTTTGATCAGAGTCTAACTGTTGACACAAACAGAAACCAAAACCTGATGCACTTTACAGCAAACGGTTTGCTTCCCAGCTGGCAATCATTCTTGAAATCTCAACTTCTTATCACCTTCATTATCATCTTTATTTGTAGAGCGCTCTAAAACAGCTACAGGTGGAAAACAAAAAGTGGTGAACACACCTAAAAATAATAAAACCCAATATAAGAATAAAACAGCATTAAAATCTAAATAAGGCAAAAATAATATTTTCTTATGCTAAATAAGCAACGTCAAAACAACTAAGTCCTGCCTGTTAAAAGCCAGCAAATAAAAATACGTCTTGAGCCATGTTTTAAAATTATTCCATAAACGAGGAGCAGCCAGAGAGAAAGAGAAGGCTCTGGCCCCTCTGAGCTTCCTCTTAAACCTCAGTGCCTGCAGGAGCTGCTGTTCTGCTGACCTGAGGGACAGAGGAAGCAAGTAGGGCCGAAGAAGCTCAGAAAGATGGGGCAAGGTTATTTGGCTTAAAAAAAAAAGCTAACAATTTTAAAATCAACTCTATAATGCACCGGCAGCCAGTGGAGTGAGACCAGGACAGCAGTGATAAGATCAGGAGTCATATGTTTGTTATGCTCCAACTCTATTAAGAGCAGCACAGTAACAAAGCACAATATTCAGTTTTTATTTTTCTTAAAAATTACCAATTACTCTACAGTCAGCTGCTAGTTGTATTGCTAAAAATTGGAATCCCAAACTTAGATCAGAGGATGCTCGGGGTCATCACGTGCAAAGCAGACTGACTTTATTAGTAGCTTGATCTCCTAAACTCCTGTGGCCATTGGATCGATCAGGACAGTCTAGCTTCATGGAATAGACACAAGTCATCCATCACTAGGGGGTTTATTCAAACCAAAGTCAAAATTTCTCAAAAGGTCAATCAGAAGTATCAGAGAGAAGATGGTTAGCCTTTTTTCACAGATTAGAGTCTAACCTAAATGCACTTCTGAGTGAAAGGTAAAAAAAAAAGAATTACCAGAGAAATCAGAAATTTTGCTGAAAACTTTCTTTGGTAAACAGAAGCTGTTGCAGCTGCAAATGTAGGTCAACGTCATATTAAACTATGTTGATTAGAAATTTGACGCACCTTAAATCCATATGTAGGGGAATGCACCGAATGACAACCAAGTCTGCAAAGCAATCACTCTAACAACTCAAGTTGAATCTTTACCACAGCATGGCTTATATTTAAGTGAAATCTTACTGTAAGGAGAAATAAATGTCTCAAACAATTCTTTTATGTAACTTTTAACTAATGTATCAACGTCCAAAATCTTCCAATGACTTTTACTGAACTTGTATACGGCTTTGGGACAAAACTGGAAACTGAGTGGGACGACTTCAAGCTCAATTGGACAGCAATCTCTCATTATCCCTTAACAGCAGAGAGCAACATAGTCCTTGGACAAGCTCTACGACTGAGTGGTTTGCAACAGCTGTTTTAGGCTCTTACAGTGGAAATTAACAATAACACCATCATGACTTAATTGTCGATAGCTGGAGGTGTTTAAAGGACAATAAGCTGAAAAGAGAGACGAGTTAAGGATGATGAGAAGATGTTTATAGGGAGATATGACTCAAAACGACCAAAAATTATTTGTATAAGAAAAAAAAAATGATTGCGATGAACGATAATACTGAATTTCATCTTTTTTTCCTTTTTTTAACTATCATTTAGCTTGTATGCTGATCCTCAGTAACAAGACTCATGCTACAATAACCATGCTAAAAAAAAACAATATAGGGAGGGATGAGTGTGGATTGATTGAACCATTTTGTCAACCAGGCTCTTTAGAAGTAAGAAAGGTAGACATACGGAAAACAAACATGGAAAAAACATATCGAACTTGAGATAAATTTTTATCATGCGATTAATTGACTTATTCATTGTGACAGACCCATCAGAGACATTTTCTCATGAAGCATTACTAACTTGTCCTCAGTCTGACTTTGACGTCTCCCACTGTCCATATTAGTTAGAGGGAGACTGAAAATACATTATGCAAGTTATTCAATAAAAAAAATCCCAGAAAGATGCAAATCCTACCTGATGATGGGCTGATAGGTTATTCCAGATGGCGTAGGACAAATATCTGCCTGCTGAAGCTTTTTTTTTTTTTATCCAGGGATTACAAATTCAGAGATTACAGGATATTTGCAGCAAATAAACCCTTCAAAGAGCAAGATTTTTTTTTTTTCACAAAGAGGGTTTTCTGATTTATATAGTGTGACTTCATGAACAGTCATACTATTTAAACCATATTCAAACCAGAATATTTTCCTGTTTTTGTCACACTTTGTGTTTCTCTATATTGAAGTAATTGTCATATCAGACAAAGATAGCCAGAATAAATACATAGTACTTGTAATGATTTTATGTAGTTAGATAAAAAAAAAAACAAAAAAAAACCCACAAGCATCTAAACAAACATGGCTCTAAATGACATACGGCTGTTCCTTCTTTTGTAGGAAACAACTTTAATCAAGCGTGGATAAAAACTTGTCTTTTGCACCGTCAAAGAATTTTAGCCCACCGCTCTCTGCCGAATTGCTTTAGTCAGCCATGTTGAAAGGAATGTGAGCAGGCAAGGGAGGTTTAAGTTATGGCAAGGCATTTCAATTTGAGATAAGTCTGGACATTAGGGGCAAATTCTTAAGTTTGATAGTCTCTTTTTATTTAGCCATTCAGAGGTAGACTATATTGTTGCTGCTTTGGTTCCCTGTCTTGCAATATGGCAAAGTCAACTTGACCTTATGGTCAGAAATTGATGGCATTGTTCTTTTATACTGTAGACCAGTGTTTCCCAACCTTTTTTAACTTGTGTACCTTTTTGGGCATTTTGTCATATACAAAATAAAAGCATATCATAAATCTGCCTTTTTAAGACAAGAGCTCTTCTGAGTAACTTCCTTGTAATCACATACAAACTTGATGAATTGAAACAAAAATACTTAACAAAAATTATAGTCATACTGACTCCATTTATTTGACTTTGATTTCAACATTATGACACCTGAGCTGCTCTGATGAGCTTCGATAGCTCAGTGGGCTGATACCAGGCTGTTCTCTAGATCCAGTCTCTTCCTCTGCTTGGTTTTGATTAGTGTCAAAGCTGAAGGTAAACTTACTTTTTGGTTGAAAAAGAAAAAAATCTTGTTTTATAATAATTTAGTTGTCCTTTACTTCTTTGCATTTTATGACCTCTTGGATGAGCTATTCATGCACTCAGAGTAATTTGGTATAGGCCGGACAATGCAGGGAATGTTGACAAGGTTCCTTTTTTTCTGTATTGGGGAAACTTGCTCTTATTTTGGTTTGCTTGAGTCCAAAAATCTAGTAAATGCCTTCTAAAACCTTTAAAGGCTGATAAATGCTAACTTTGTTTCTCATTTCTTACATTTCTTTAGACATGCTCCCTTTCATGGATGGGTTGTTTGTACAAGTCTCTGAGCAGTTCTGCTTGGGTCTTGTGAGCTAAACATGATTAAAAAAATAAAAAAAACATTGGCAATTTAGTTTTCCAGCAATCTCTTATTTTTTGCCGATATTTATCCTCTGACTTGAGCTAACAATAATTTTGTAGTCATCCAGCCAGAAACCACAACTTATTTGATAATAAGAACGAATTGTACCCTCATAGAGCTCCTAACCAAAAATCAATCAACATAATATCAGTGGATGCAAAAAAAAAAATTACAAAAACTAAACAAAACTGCTCAGCAATTACTAGAAGTGTAGATTGTTGTAGTGCCAATGACACTTTTCCCATTAATTATTTATTATGGTACAAACAATTTAAAAATATTTATACATTTTTTACTTTTGAAATTAAAACTTTTTTTTTTTAACATTTAAATATTTCCAGAAGTAGAAATAATTTTTCCGTTTAACATAAGGGTATTTATATTTTCTTTTCAGGATGAGTGCCTAGTCTTTACTCTAAATAAATAGAATAATTTTAATATACTGCCTTTTGTCTGTACTTGGATCATAACACTTGTTCTATAATGTGAAAAATGTAAATTTGGGTAAAAAAATTAAATAAAAAAAAAGGAGAAGAATAGCAAAATAAAAGAGAAAAGGGAAATACACTTTCAACAGTTTACAATTTCCTTATTGTAGAAAATTTTTATTTCAACAGAATACCTACAAAATACTATGATAAAAGAAGCTCAGTTTGAAAAAATAAATTCAAAATTTGGACAATATTCAATTATTTTAACAGTTAAATGCCTAAAAGTCTATTTTAAAAATAGACTTTCAAATTCCTTTAAGCTTCTCTACAGATTTCCTCTCCTTTAATACATCATTAGAGCTGAGAACAACCACTGCTGTCAAAATGTGGACATTTCATCAGCTCAAAACATTAAACTTAGCATATGGCGAGTAAAGACATGTCGACAGAGTGCGTGATCTCCTAATTCCTTAAACATCATGATAAGTAGCTTACATAATCCAAAGATTTAGATATGGGTTTCATAATACCATGGCCTGTAAAGAGAGAGAAAAAAATTCTCAGGCAAAAACCAATGAAAAAAAAACGCCATGGACTAAAAGCAGAGTGTGGTTTCCTCTACTTCTGCACCTGTCTTCTGCAGCAAACCAGAACTAACCATTCAAGGTTTGCATGAGGTTAGTAAGTGAATGCTGTCTGGCAGGAGCTGATGATTTATGAGCACGTTACAGAGTCCAAAGAGTGGAGCGGCTGTGTGACAGACAGCAATCTGACAGAGAAATAGGCTGGAAGGCAGTGATAAAAATATAGCCAGACAGGTAAAGCAATCCAGACATATTCATATCTTCTTTCACTGCTACTTTAGTCGACCTTAGAAGCTTCTGGTTTCATCAAATTTGGTAAAGATGCACAAATGTTCACCAGCCTTAACACTAAGGGGTTTAATTTTACTCTATCTCCACAGGATAGTGACCAAAACCTTTTCTGGTTGAGTTTTTACAAACAGCATCTAATTTATTTTTAATTCACCTTAGGTTAAACAAAGCAGACAGACACGCCTTCTGCTAACCTAGGTTAAGTCAACAGCAACGCCACAGCTAAACTGGGCAGAAAAAAAAAACAGGGTGTGCTAACAAAGAGCATCCTGTAACTTTCCTTATCACCAAGGGAGCGCTGATTATTGCACAGTGAGTCAAGAGGGCTCAGAGCCACATATGCGGTCATACATTTGTGATAATGAAAGGGTGATGTCTGCAAACAAATTCCTCCTGATGCTGCAGGGGTTTCCGTGCACCTTATCTAGTGCACTTTGTGCAGGTTTTCATTTGTAAAAGGCAGTTAACAGGTTATGAGAAGAGCTGGGCTCATATCTGCTAAAACCACATGGTGAGACTGCATCAGAGGCTGAGGAAGTACATTATCACTGGGGATACAGAACGGCAGTCCCTGCTGCCATGGATAAATATATAGAAACTGGAAGGGATGGACAGCAGAGGCGTAGCCAGAAAATCCTAATAGGGGTGGCCAGTCAATAACCAATAAACATTGGAGGGTGGACGAAAGCCACCAGAACCTCAGGGTCAATCTACACTGTTCCAATAGAAACATGCACAACATCCTTATTTTCTAAATAAAGACAAACTATACTCTCCTGCAGCCTTTGCTAACAAATAGACGCATATATTTAAACATCTATGCTGTGTAAATAAAAGGTACAGTGGACAAAATTCTTTCAGGTTTGAATTCTGGGGTGAACATATTTCAATCGTAATTACCTACTTTTATCAATATTCATTCTGCAATATCCACATTTAAAGAATTTTTATGTTATTATTAAAGTAGTTATAATTTCACTGAAGACTCATAGATGACTTGCAGAGGCATATAATTTTATCTTTACACCAAATAATTCAAAATTTAGTTCTGAAAACAGCATGAATTCTGTATCTATCATATTTAATGTTTGTATATTGATGAACATAATTAACTGCAGTGTTTCTGTTGTCAAATAGGTGTTAATATATGAAAAATTTAAATGTTTAATAAGTTTGAACATTCTTCTTCCGAGTATTACTGCTGCAACAGTCTGTATTACAGGAAAAAAATGGTAGGGGTGGCCACAGGGGTGGTCAATGATTGGCTAAGGCCACCCCTGGTCCCCCATCTAGCACCGCCCCTGATGGACACGACAGATGGGTGAGATTTGAAAGGTGCAAAATAATGTTGGAAGGACTGACCCAACTGAGCCAGGCTTTTTACAAGCGTTATAAGCCCAACAATGTAAAAAAAAAAAAAAAAAAAATTTTTAAATCAGACAGATAAATGTAGAATTACTTAAGTAAACAAGGAAATCATAAAGAATTACCCGTTTGATGTAGGAAAAAATGGATTTTAAAAATCCTTTTATATTTTTTTTTTATTATCATAGAATAATTCAGACTGTCGCTCCAAATGAAGTAGATCCTGACAGATGATTGGTCAGCTGGCTGTCAAAGCATTAGCCCCACCCACTACCTGATTGGCATGTGTCTTGTATAATAAAAAATGTTTGACCCACCTTCATAGTTTAATGAGAAATTCCTATGAATAAATCAAACAGTTTGCATGAGCAGAAAGTCTCCTGCTGTAAATTCCGCAGCATGTCCCTCAGCAGCCTGTGAATCACAGCACCAAGGGGTGAAGCATCAAAGGCTGGATGGATCTCTGCTGCTCGGTCATGCTTCTCTCCATAGGAGACTACATGTGCGCGCATGCAGCCCTACATGTCATTAAGGTCTGCTTACATCGGAAACATGTCCAATCACCTTAAAGCTCCGGGTATTTGTCCCCTGCACATCAAATGACCTTATCGTTGAAGATGAATCGCGTCTCACCGTATGTCTCCTTGTAGGCTGGGACGGTGACATCCTGCAGCGTCTCCGTCCAGCCCTCCTCCTCCGCCTGACTGCGGGTGAGGGAGCCCGGTGGACCGCTGCTTCCGCCGGTACCCCCACCGCCAGACCCCCCGCTGTGGCCGCACTCCTTATCCCCTCGTTTCTGATGATGATGATGGTGGTGGTGATGATGGTGCCGCTCCTCATCGGCCGCCTCGGCTATGTAGTTGTCTGAGTCGGAGTCTCCGGAGGTGCTGTAGAAGGGATTGTCGCTGCTGTCATCCCCGGACTCTCCGAACACATCGTCGGATATCTGCAGGCTCTCGTACCGGGAGCGGGCCGCTTCCAGCAGGGACAGCGCCTTCCGGCCGCACTCGGCCATCTCTCTCAGCAGTGATGCTCCTCTCTCTCTCTCTACCTCAGTCTGTCACCACCTCTTTCCTGGCGCGCAGGTAGTCACGATCTAGCAGGAACAATGATGAGTGTTCACTGTGACAGCTGCACCATACCTTGGCCTGAGCAGATATGCATTTAAATCCAGCTTCCTCTCCCGGCTTAGATTCAGAGCCTGTCGGCAGCAGATGAAAGCTGTTCTTAAGGGTCCGGAAATAATTCCGCCCCCTGCTGCGCCGACAGGGCTGCACTGTGGGCAGCGCTCAGCATCCGGGTAGAGAAACGCTCTGCAGGCTCCAGCAAGGAGCAGAAGGAGTAGTATCTGTCATCACCTGACTCTGATCCCCTCCAGCGGCGACCAATAAGATCACATTTCCTGATCCACACGTAAATGTACGGAGGATTAGGGCCACTGAAAAAACAAAAAAAAGTTAACTGATTTTAAATTTTTATTTCAGTTTGAGAAAAAAGTCAAAATTCTGAGATTAAAAGTCAAAATTTTGACTTTTCTTCTCAAAATTCTGACTTTTCTCTCAAAATTCTGACCTTTTCTTAGAATTCTAACTTTTTTCTTAGAATTTTGAATTCAATCTCAGAATTCTGACTTTTTCTCAAAATTCTGACTTTTCCCCCACAATTCTGGGTGTGGAGGCCCAGTGGTTATGGTATAGGGCTTTGGATTCTGAGGTTGTGAGTTCGATCCCCTACTCCAGCCGACTGCCACTCTGGCTCCCTGAGCAAGACCCTTAACCCCACACTGCTCCCCAGGCGCCGCACAATGGCAGCCCACTGCTCCCCAAGGGGATGCGTTAATGCAGAGAATTCATTTCGTTGCTCTGTTTTTTTTTTATCCATTTAAGCTCAGAATTCTGTCTTTTTCTCAGAATTCTTTTTCTTCTGAATTCTGACTTTAATTTCAGAATTCTGACTGAATTCTGACAGCTAACAAACATGACAGCATTAAGCTGTCTGTTTTAGAAAATAGCTCTCTTGTTTTAATCACCTTCTGCTCTTCCATTAATGAAATAGCCTCACCAGGGACCCGTCGGACACGTAAAAAGTCACCTAATTCCATAATTTTCCACCAATGTGTTACTGGCCCTCCCAAACAACTCACATCTTTGTCAGTGAAGCTAAGTGCTCCCACATCTCTTCCTTCATGGTGACATTAAGATCCAAAATTCTGAGATTAAAGTCAGAATTCTGAGAAAAAAAGTCAGAATTATGAAATTACAGTCAGAATTTTGAGAAAAAAGTCAGAATTCAGAAAAAAAAAATCAGAATGCTGAGATTAAAGTCAGAATTCTGAGAAAAGTCAGAATTCTGAGAAAAGTCAGAATTCTGAAAAAAAAAAGTAAGAAATCAGGAAAAAGTCAGAATTCTAAGATTCAAGTCAGAATTCTGAGAAAAAAAGTAAGAATTCCGAGTAGAAGCTTACTACTAAAATAAAATGTAAAAATCAGTTAACTCTTTTTAAATGTTTTCAGTGGCCCGAATTCTCTTCCGTATAAATGAGTAGATTTAAAACCCAGGAGTAATAATAATAAAACGAATGCGGATCAGTAATGGGTAAAATGTGGCATTACCTGGACAATAATAAGATATATAGATGTATTTCCAGATAATACATGTGGCACAGATTAGATGTAAATAACAAAAGAAAATAAAAAAGCAAAAATAAATACAAGTATCTTTCTATAGGATCCTAATATATTTCTATTCCATTTCTAATAAATACAGAAATTCATAAATATTTTGGTTATTTACACAAAGTTACAAACAACAAGTGTCAACATTTCAGAAATCAAGATAAAAACTGTGCTTCAGATAAAGCAGGGGTGGAGCTAGATGGAGGGCCAGGGGTGGCCAAGGCCAACCTCAGCCAATAATTGACCACCCCTAACATTGTTTCCCTATATTACAGATGGTGGCAGCAGTAATACTCTCGAGTGAAACATTCTAACTTATTTAACATTTAATTGTCAAATGTTAACAGTTACTTGACAACAAAAACCCTGTGGTTAATTATGCTCATCAATATACTAACAATGATGATAAATACAGAATTCATGCCCTTTTAGAAATAAGTTTTGTCTTATGAGATAAAGAGAAAATTATGTCTCTGCAAGTCATATGAGTCTTCAGAGATAACCACTTTAATAATGAGTTATCCATTTGATGCAGCCATTAGTACATGTAAATATTGATTTTATGCAGAACGATTATTGATAAGATGTTCGTCCCAGAACTCCTGAATTTTTAAAACCTGAATTTTGTCCACTACACCTTTAATTTAGAGAGCATTGATGTTTAAATATATATATGTGCCTATATGTTAGCAAAGGCTGTAGGAAAGTATATTTAGTCTTTATTTAGAAAATATGGATGTTGTGGTTGTTCCATTTACCCTGAGGTTCTGATGCCTATCCGCTTTCGGCCACCCCTCAGTGTACGTTGGTTATTGCCTGGCTACACCTCCGATATAAAGTACATAAATAAATACCTATAGATCGCAATAATGCTTGGTTGATTGCTTAAAAAAATATAAGTAAACTAATCCTTCAATCAAATTTTATACCTGATACTAAAAATACACACTTTACATGAATTGAAATTTGTCTAAAAGAAGCTCACCATTGTTACTCAGTTATTTTTTTGATTTAATACCTGATTTAGAAATGTATTTAATGGACATGATTAAAATCCAGATGAAAGTGTTCCCAGGCTTTGTTACTAATAAAACCAAACATCACATTACTGTATGGCTGTAAGGCATTAAAGCAAAAAAGGCTTCAATCCAACAAGCAAAAATAATGGTTGAAGTGATACAAGTTAAATAAATTTACTTAAAGTAAAAAAAAATTCTTACTCAAATGTTTAATGTGTAAATGATTATTAAAACACAACTTCACTCATATTCAATAAATTCATAGGTTCCAGTGAGACCCATTTGTCAGCTTAAAATTACCTTTTGCAGATGTGAAAAATACTTAATATTAAGGACACATACCTGATTTTATTGGTCATATGAAACCGTCTAAGTTAATAGTGTTTTTAATGGTTGAAAGTGAAAAAATATCAAAATGAACAAAGATCAAGGCCAGAAAAAAAAAAGTGTCAGTAATTAAAATATTAAATGTGGCATAGCGACTTTATTTACCAAACCAAACACAACTTCAGTAGAATTTGAACTATTAAAACATTCTTAAAATACTTAACTGAAAGATTTTAACAGACTTTAAAAGGCCTGAGATTTTCACAAAAATTTTATTATTACAAAAGTGAATTTCTCAAACAGTTTTACTAAAGTCTTCATCTCTCTTTGCAATATCAGAAAGACAGCCAGTCATGTAAAATAAAAAAAATAAAAAAATAGAATATTGTGGATAACCTCAGAATCCATTTTTTCAACCTCAACGTCCTCTCAAATAAAACGATATGGACAATCCAAAACGAGAACCTTGAGGCGATGGACCACTGGGGCTGTAAAAGTTCTTCCATACAAAAAATAAATCTTTATATTCAACAGATTGTAAACGTACATTATTCATTCCATAGTCAGAATTTCTGACGGCTGAAATGAGCGATAAGCTCATGTTGAACAGTAAATGAACCTCGCCGAGATGAACTGCATGGAGCTGAGAGTTTAAGAACTCTGCAGCTTTTGTCCAGTTGATTGAACCAAGTCTTCAACTTCATGATGTTTCAATCTGCCAGTCACAAGAAATAAGAAAAATAGGTTATTATGGGCTATAAGGAAAGAATTTCAAATCAACCACGCACATTAAAAAACATGGTAAGATGAAAGACTGAGAAACACACAAATTATATGATGATTTATGATGGATATGACTGTTTAACCACCTTTCACCTGATATATTCATTTATTTGATCAAACAAACAGAGCTACATCTTTCCCTATATGGGTTCTCTTAGAATAATGCAGCTTTACTACAACCATACAGTATGACCTAGCGAAAACTTAATATTACAGATTATTTGAATGCTTCTATCAAACGGTTATGGAAAAAAAAGGTTTGCATGATTGTCAATACATTCATGATAATTACAGAGGGTAGTAGCAGCAGATATTAGTCAAATGCATGGTGACCGACTCCGTAAAAGCAGGAGTGTTGGTCCTCTGTTATTCTGAAGTATTACGGTGGACAGTAGAAGATGGCCTGTCATTGTAATTAGGGCTGCAATTAACGATTATTTTACAAATCGATTAATCTCTTTATTTATTTATTTATTTTTTTGATTAATCGGATAGCAAAAGGCTTTATAGCAGAAGACTTCTTAAAAATTAAACCATGTGAAACTAAAACTTGAGGAGTTCTGGATAGGGCATATTGACCGACAAAAATGTTTTTTTAATCTAAATGCAAAATGCGCACAAAATTGTATGCAATGTTGGTATAACTGCTGCTCTATCAGCTAAAGGCATGTTGTACCCTCTATACTCCAGTTAATGATTAATCGATTACTATATTAGTTGCTGATTATTTCAATAATCGATCAATCACGATTAATCCGATGAATTGTTTCAGCCCTGTGAGAGCCGAGGCAATTAGCTATTAGCTATGACCTGATGCATAAGAGAAAAAAGATTCAATTTGGAAATAATTGAGTTATTGGAGTCATCTTTTGTTGAGTCTGCACTTTTATTTATATATTTTTTTAATCTGATTTATTTTAGAAGCTTTAGAAATTCATACCTCTGTAGGTATTAAACCTCTGTAAAAGACAAAAGCACCAATGATATGTTACAGGTAACTGATCAGTATTTTTAAAATTATCTTCAAGCTTATCCCCATGTTTACTAATGGAAATTAGTAACGTAGTGTCCCTGTATTCCACTTTCACTTTAATTTACTTTTAGTGTGTGCATATTTCAAGAAATAATTTTTCATTGGACACAGATGCAATTCTGTCTTCAATTGCAATGATGTCAAATGCTTCCCCTGATAGCTGATCATGGGTTTCCCTTCTTGGAACTGATAAGCCTTTACAACTGATAGATGAACCCACCGGATTCCTGGAGCAGCTGGATCTGCATTTCTCCTGAAATCATTCCTCTAGCATCTAGGTCATCCAAAAGTGAGTTTAAAGCTTCCTTCTGTCGTCTTTCCCGATCCTTAGCATTCCGGAGTTGGCGTTCCAGTTCCTCAATTCGTGCGTGAGCATCAGATATCTTCTTTTTTATCTGGTTAGGATCGAGGGCGTAATGATGATCCTACGAAAGGAATCAGAACAAACATTGGATGTAAAAGTGCTCTGAATAGTTGCAATTTTGGGGAA